TGGGAATACCTTTGGTGAAAATTGCTTACCCTCTAATATAATTAGAGATCAGGCTAGTGAAAGATATTGGAGAAAGACTGTTGGAAAACCAGAACACGTACTGTGGGATCCACCAGCAAGCAGACAGAAACCGGCCCCCGCTCCGGCTCTGTCACCTCCAGAATCTGAGAAATCACTACCTGATGGAGATCCTATGGACATCTATGATGAAAACCTTAATCTGATCATCAGGGAAGGAGGAGAGGACTTCTTTCAATACATGCTGTCAAAAGCTGTACCCATTGGGAAAGAAGAAGTTCCAACAACCTTCATGATATAGCACGCCTACCAGCGCAGCTTCAACAGGAATGGAAAAAGGCCTGCCTGCGAGAATTAGATATCTTGCATAAGCGCAGTGTCTTTGAGGTAGTCGACCTACCAAAAGGGAAACAACCCATTAAGAATAAATGGGTATTAAACGTAAAATCCACGGGCCGTAAAAAGGCTTGATTGGTTACCAAAGGCTTTATACAAGTCGAAGGCATTGATTTTGATGAGATCTTCTCACCAGTTGTACATTACAAAACAGTACACCTCATGCTCAGCCTATTGGCTTTAGAGAATTGGCATTTCACTGGAGTAGACATTGTGAGCACCTTCTTATATACCAAACTCACTGAGGAGATCTACATGGAACAACCGGAAGGCTTTAAACTTAAGGGTCAAGAACACAAAGTTTGGCATCTGCGTCATGCCCTTTATGGATTAAAACAAGCCGCCTTAGTATGGTGGAAAGAACTTGAAAAATCCATGAATTCTATGGGCTTTTACCGCACTAAATCAGATGCTGGTATATTCGTCCACAAAACAAAAGACAGAAAATATGTCCATGCCATTGTTTATGTCAATGATGGCACCTTTATGGGCAAAGACAAAAAACTCATTGAATCAAAGAAAGCCGAGTTCATGAAAAAATGGGACTGCCACGACCTTGGCGAAGTCAAAGAGTTCCTTGGAATGAAAATAAATCGCCGCGGATCTAAGATAAAGATTGATCAAATTGACTACCTTACAAAGGTACTTACCCGCTTTGGCATGCTTAATGCAAAAATAGCTGCCACACCTCTTCCTACCGGCTATATGCCAACAAAGAACCTTGCTCCTGTCAATCCGGTACTAAGACAGAAATTCCAGCAAGTGATAGGATCACTAATGTACCTAATGATCGGTACACGGCCCAATATTGCATTTGCTGTTACCAAATTATTGCAACAATCTGCGAACCTGTCCCAGGAACACCTGGACAAAGCACTTTACATCATGCGCTACCTTCTTGGCACAGCCAACTATGCTATCACATATGATGGTAATAGTAACAAAGGACTAATCGCCCACACTGATTCCAATTGGGCATTGGACTTTAACACATGAAGATCCACCACCGGATTCTTCCTGAGCCTCTCAGCAGGCATCATCACGTGGAACTCACGCACTCAGAAGTCAGTCGCTCTGTCTTCTACTGAAGCTGAGTACATGGCGCTGTCAGATACATGCCACTAAGTAATGTGGATGAGATCACTCCTAAAGGAGATAGGTTTCAGTTGACCACCCACAATGATTGCAGCCGACAATCAAGGGTCTATATTCATAGGATCCAACCCTGTGCAAGATCAGCATACAAAACACATCGACATCCAATATCATTACATTCGGGAAAACGTCGCAGTTGTCTTTATTGATGGAACTAGTAACCCTGCAGACATGTTTACCAAAAATCTACCAAAGGATAAATTCCTTACGTTTAGATCACAACTTGGGCTCGAGTTTTACTTGCTCAACAATCTTCAAGATTAGATTAGATTAGATTAGCTACCTATCTAGATCTCTTGATTGAGGGGGAGTGTTGAAATCACTCCAAGTCACGACACCAAGATTGTGACTCCAATGGTCCGTGCTCACTATTGCATTAGTATATATACCTGTACTTTACATACCTAATACTTATTGTTTTATATGACCTTCTCACTAACACTCTAAGCTCTACAGCAACCAAGGTATGTGTTTGACTAGCTAAGTAGATATACATTGTATAGTAAGACTACGGCTTCCGCATATCCTTTCAATAGAAACCAGCCATTTTCAGTGATTTTGATTACATAATGCTCACACAGCAAAAAACCATGATTGCCCACCCCCATTATAAAAGACAGGTAAAGATAGATAATTTGATCTAAAATGTAGATTTGCCTCATGATTTTTCACCAGGATATGAAGCCTTGGCCCTCATTTGCTGCCTCAAACTCATCTCATTCATTTCAGTGGGGGTCAAAATAATTGGTTCAAATCTTGAATTAACCCCTTATCTTTACACATCTAGAACCCTTTATAGCGCCGTGGTAGCGCAATGGTAGCGCGTTGCTTTCCGGAGTTGCAGTCACGTGACCCACTTAGGCAAAGGTTGTGGGTTCGATCCCCATCCTCGGTAGCAGGTTAAATTCTTTTTGGGCAATTTAAGTCTGTAAACTACTGGTATATCTTGTAAATGATCGGCGTCATTCGTAACCTGTATCATATATGTAACTTCAAGATGCCTAATTCAACGTTCCCGCTTATCAATGTTTTGTATCTGAATTTACCACTGGCGGTTTTTTTGGCTGGTTGAACCAGTCTTTGCACCACTCATGAAATTTTCCGTGCAACACATAGCCAGAGGTTAGAGGTATCATGACTTTATAGAGAAATAGGGCCAGATCACTATCATTACCAAAACCGTTCTAACAGCATAACCTTCAATGCGCACTGGCGTCGTAAATCTCGATACTATAATTCCTCTTTCCGAGAACTTGGTTATCCGGCTTCCGTATCCCGGACCTAGCAAACCTGCCAACTGAAATAGAAAACCAGCCATAATCGAGATCCTTCCTAAACAAGGACCTTATTGTTAAACAAGTTGTATGGAAAGGAATTTTGCTAATAATGTTAGATGAAGCACAATGGCAAACATCTACCTATTCCTTTTTTCTAGCTGAACAGATGACATGATCACCACACGAGCCCGTTTCCTAGAAATAACGAAAAGTTTTTGATCAAAATGGATTATCAAATGTCTGATGGCGTATTTAGTTTAATAAATTCAATGCGAATGAGTCAAATCTGCCTTTAACTGATTGTGTTTGTGAGTTGTTATGTTGTTACAAAGGGCCCGCCGAATCCGACAAACCATCAAGGGTTTTAGCTTCCTTCCGTTCCCAATCTGTGGTAGGGCTCGAGGATACCAAAGAGGAGCAGCCGTGATTTTTTTCCGTTAAACCTATTTTTCTCTTTCATAGGGTTCAATATTAATAACAATCATTCTACTCGCGCTATGAACGAACCAAACCATAAAGGACACCAAGGCGTACAAACGACACTCTCGGAAATCGCTAGATTTATAGTATTAGACCCATGGGTAACCTCCCCAATTAGCTTATTGCTTTCAAAAGGTCGGGTAGGACTTACTGCAGTTCTCATTATTGACGGTCAGCATCAAGTCGAAAAAATTTCAGCGCCTGGAGGACATGAACTGTTCATGGGTACCGGATTCTTGCAACCGCATAAACCCACCATGAGAATTTGCGGTCTGGAACGGCGTATGCAGAGGGTGGAATAAATGGGTGACCTGAATCCTTCTTCGACGAGGGGTCCGTTTCGTCTAAGAAAGAAAAAAAAACTCTGGACAAAACATTGAATAACCACCGAATTGGGCGTTAACAGATCCGAAGACGAAAAGACTGTGATAATGACCAACTTTAAATGGATCTAATCATAAGATGATGTAGGAGGACGCAGGACACAGCCTAAGAAGATAAAGTAAGTGGAATAGTCTTTCTAGAGAAACGACTGGCAGGTAATCCACCAGCAACCGCCTGTTCAAGTTCAGTAGCCAAGTGATACTCGGCGAGCTTTAGCGAAGAGTGCGTCAGCCAGTCATGCTTCAAAGCCCCCAATTGTACATGAAAAAATGTGAACCCATTACTTCGGTTATATGTGCTTGAACACACAGAAAATCCGGAAAACGACTCAGGCAATGTTAGTAATTTGGGGAGTTTGAAGCCATGGGACAAAAAAATGAAGACGTTGGTAGTCGTAAGGAAGAACGATGATAACAGTAGTTTCCGAAACAGGAATTGGTGGTTTACGTCACTTTGGTTGTTCACACTAAAGTTTCGTTTCAAAGCGCATGTCACAATCGGAACTCAGTATACTCTATTACACAAAAACATAAAGGCATTCCACGGGCAGAACAGCCGACATAAGTCCGTTCAGCAAACATCGCGCCTGTTACGACTAGGGGTTTCACGATCTGGATCCTGCGCTTCGTACATCCTGTCAAGTTCCGCAAGACTCTCCGCCTTCGCCTCGGCATTTCGACAGCGGTCTGCCAAGCATATAGTCCCAAATTCATCAGCATCGTGCCCTAAAAGATTCCGAATGCGCCTAATATCAGATGCATAGAATATTGTATTCGAAACACCTCCAGTCCTAAGATCCCGTTTCTCAGAGATAACATCCCGAAATTTGGACTGAGAGCACAGATAATGGAATGGGTCGGTGCATGCTAGCAGTTTGTAGCCATGGTCATTGTGGAGATGGGTAAACATATCTGGGACTGAGAACCAACTTCGCGTTCATTAGAGTATTTAAGTAATCGGGTATAAAGAAATGAATACTTGGAGTCGATGTCCCCCCCATTCTTCTCCCATGGAAAGAATCCACAGTACAGCAGCTTATCCATACGGAACTCACCGTCCTCCTGGGCGTGCGAGACGATGTGTTGCGCCATAGCCAGGGGATTCGGTTGGGGGCTGCGGTTATATCAGCAATTAGCTTGACTTAACAGGGCATGCTCACATCGTCCGTTGGTCCCAAGATAGTGTCGTGTCAAATAAGCACAAGGGACAAAATGTATTGATGACTCTGAACCCTTTCCCAGAAGAGACGGAATGCGACAAGCTCTTAAAACCCCTGGGAACTCAAGTCAGTTCTATACTGGGAGCAATCGGCTGGGGACGTACATAGGTGAAAAGTTTTGCTCCTTAATTTTGGAGAAGATCTTGGCAACAGCGTCCGTATAACATCTCTCAAAATGGGTAGACGCACTGTCATCTTTGAAAACGGATAAGCCACAAAAGTGGCATATCATATAACATGTCATCTTCGGGAGCTTTTCAGTATACTTCATGTTCCCTTTTAATGCCTTTTGGTACAAGGAGTTGATAGTCTGTAACATTATTTTGGGTTAATTAAATTGAAAGAGAGGAAATGGACAAACCTTGTGGATGGGAATGCGATACAGATCGGTCGAAGTTTTGGCTTGGCGATGATCCAACTGTAGCAGGACTTGAACGTATGCGCACAAGCTGAGTGAGATACGTACCATGTCCAAAACACAATCTGCATTTACCGTTGTTGAAAGGTATGACCAACCGTTGGTGCCCACCCCCCAGCGGCCAAGCGAGCATACAAAGGCTTTGAAAACGTCAAACTTTGGTAGATCGGCATCGGGCTGGAGAGTAGCAAGAGCCTTCTCTTCGCTTCCCAGAATGTTGGTAAAATGGCTCAGCCATATGTTCCTCATGGATAAGTGGTTTCTTCGGGTGAGTTCAGGGAGAACATTTTCCTGCTGAATTTCTTGGAGTTTTGCCGAATCAAGGGATCCAGAGAGAGTAGAAGGATCGTCTTCTTTGTTTCGGCGTCGGCGTTTTGAAGGACGCAGGACATCAAATGAAGACGCAGATGCCGTAGGTGAAGCGGGGGTCTGGTGCATACTAGACTCGTGGCGAGCATTATTAGGTGACATGGACGGTGAGAGTGAGTGGAAAAGGGTTAGGCGCTTTGCGCTAGCTAAAAGAGAGCCTAAATCGGAAGGAAGCACGCCACCGATATTCAGGTTCAGGATTGACTCGACTAAAAACCTACTTTAACCCTGCCCAAGCCATAAGCTCGACTATCACCCCACATTTACACATTTCAAGACTGGAACGAGGTCATCCTAAGTGATGTCGTAGTATCGGGAAACCATCGTGTTCGAGTTCGGCCCCTCGAGCGTTGCTGGCACCCTCCGACAGTTTGTATCTTCTGCCCGCGCTTATGAAAAGCTTCCCAAGTCATCACCCATCGAATTCACCCAGAAAGTGCTAACGAGAGCTCGGAGGTTGGCGGAGAATTATCATTATATCCATCTGTGGCCCAAACCTCGATGGTACCTCAATTAGGAAAAGGGCCATAAACTTAATGTCGTGTACGTATCCTAATTTGAAGGCAAGGAGCAATTTCTACATGGCCTTGTAGTCTAGAGGTACGATACTTGCTTTGGGAATCCATTCGGATACAATTGCAAGTGGCCTGGGTTCGATTCCCAGCAAGGCCCAGAAATTCTTTTTGGGGTTTCTCCCTCCTTCAACGGGCCGGCATGACCCGGGTGTGGCAGATTCACCGCCAAGGCGACCGCTTTTGTTTCCATTCAGGCTTCTGCCACCAATGTACAAGGCATTCAACCGTTTCTACCCCTTCTAATTTTAAGCGACTGAAGACAAAAGGACCTCATCTGTTTGTCGACATTCTTGTCTTTACTCTCTCTCAAGTCATTCCTTTCGTCCCCTCTCTTTCTCTGCCGCCCGTCGAGTTGTCTCCGACGCGCTTCCACCTATTGATATACGCTATTTTACCGTTTATTTCACGCCTAGATGGCAAATTGGCCTCCGTTCCCAGCACACGTTTTCAACGGATCAGCGACTCCTTATGGTATGAGGTACGTGTATCACGAGAACCGTGCATCTGCAAGAATCTTACCTGACCGACTGTCATAGTTTACCAGATCTTGGACGACCTATCTATGCGCCAGGACCAGACCCCTATCACATAATAGGAACGACGAACCAACACCTAAACCCATCGTTCCCGCAGGCGCAACCAAATATGCCTGACTCATGGCGAAGTGACCCCCATACTCTCCCGCCCCCATGGGGAGATAATGAACCGTTCTTGGAACCGGTCAACTCTGCAATTCGCAACACGCCCTTAACTCAGAGGCGTTCCGTCCACCCAAGCCCCGGAGCTATTTTTCACCCTCCGCCCACCGACGTGGATCCAAATACGAGTTTAAACTTGGACAATCCCCGTTCCCAAGGGTGGAGAGGCCCCGTTCCGATGGATCCTTATAATGCCAACCTTGGATACGGGAATCCTAATTCTCCTTTCAATAGCCTCGCCCCACTCACCCGGCCACGACGCGGGCCGAATCGAATGCAAAATTCCTATCGAAGTTGGCCCCGTCACAACGACTCTTCAGACTCAGACTCAGATGCTGACAACCGTATGGCACTTGTACCCTGGATACCTCCAACACCACGCAGCGGAAAACACCTTCCATTGTACACACGGCCATCGAGTGTGGCCAATCTGCCAGTTTCCCCAAGGCACGCCCAGAAACATTTTACTATAAATCGCCCCCCAAGCTCCAGGCGATCTCTACATCGGCCTTCTCGTGGAGCCAAAGCGCATCTGCAAGACTCGCTTGTTCTCGTTGCGTCGCGTCCGCTTGAATGGAGGCCGGATTACTCGCCCCGACGCACCTCGGGCTTGAAACGTGGCATTTCACGCATGCGGACAGCGATCAGTGCGTATATGTCTCCCCTTCTACGAAAACGTGATGCTAATATGTGATTTTCGCCAGACTCACGGGGGTCATGCTATGACCTCAATCCGCTCATCCTGTACGACCCCGACGCGTACCCCATCTACTACGACCTCCGGCACGAGCCTGAGGTCATCGACATCATGTTCCTGAACCTCCGGCGAGAGTCAAACCAGCTCGACCTTTTTCAGCTCGCGACGATGCCGCCCGTGCACGAAATGTGCCTGTGGCACCCACGCCTTCCGTGGTATGTTCACATTGAGGCATCCCAACCAAACGGCATTACCCTCGCCGACATTTTTACACAAATGTATGACCAACTCCATGAGGGTATTACCAGCAACCATTATTATAACGTCCTCCTAACCTCAACTGACCGTGAGGAAATATCGATCGCGTTCGCACAACGCACGCATGGTTTTCCTGTATTACAGCACAAGGGCATCATGCGAATCGACTTCCTGCGCTCGGATATAATTTGCGTGGGCTTGTCGAAAAGCAAGGATGGGATGTGGAAGATAAAGACGAAGCGACCTCCTGAATGATGTATCTTTCTTTTTACCATGCGCGCGACAATGGCCTCTTGTTTCGCATAGCCCCAACCAGATATGTTTATTTAATTTTATGTATCTCCAGCACTACACTACCCCCACAACCTCATGTATATCACCATGTAATACCATCACGACACAAGTAATGACAACGAATTAATATTCAACACACGCAGAAAGCGCCGGTTTCTACAATTTCAATGTAACGTACAATCTATATTATAGCCATAGGTATCCCTCCTTTCTCATAGAATGAAGGTTGAATAAACAAGAGAAAATAATGTCCCCAACAAGCAACGGGGAATCTCGTTCCCAAAGCGTGACGCCAACAGAAATCTAGGTTGCCACTGAAGGGCCCATTGGTACCTCCCCATTGACCAAAACGCTCCCTGCCCCTCCAGTATCCTCCTTTACTTCCAACACGGCCTGGCCCTCCTTCTCCTTCTCTGCCACCTCTAGCTTGCTCATCTCCTTGATGAAGCTGCTTCCCCAGAATGCCGCACTATACTTGTTCACATACTTGAACAGTTTTCGGTGGTTTTCTGCACGCGTAGGGCCATCCATGGTCACTGCTTCATGGATTGCATCTGCGACCTGCTGGGAATCCCAAGGGTTCACGACAATGGACCCATTCAAACTCTGCGCAGCACCCGCGAATTCAGAAAGGATCATCACCCCTTGGCGCTCCTGTTGGCATGCAATGTATTCATATGATACCTGTGTATGCGTAGATTAGAGGTTGGGAAGCTGTCAGTGAGATTTACACACCAGATTCATTCCATCCCGCGTGCTGGAAACAAGACATACGTCGCTGACCGCGTAGAGAGCACAGAGCTCATCGAACGCGAGACTTTTGTGCATAAAGTGGATGGGCATGAACTCAACAGTGCCGAAGCGGCCATTGATGCGCCCGACCAACTCATTTACTGTAGAGCGCAAATTTTGATATTCCTCCACGTCCTGGCGTGAGGGAACTGCGAGTTGTACTAAGACGACCTGATAGTGGAGTTATTTTTCAAGTGGTGTAGGATATAACAAAAGGACATACCTTGCCGATCCATTCTGGATGTTGAGTAAGGAATAGTTCCAGGGCATGAAGTTTTTGTGGTACGCCCTTGATGTAGTCCAAACGATCAACACCGACTATCACTTTTACACCACCAAATCGTTGTTCCAGTTGTGTTATCCGGTTCTTTACTGAATCCTTCTTGAGATTCTGTGATACACCAGTAAAGTAAGCAACGGTTTATCGAAGAACAAGAAACATAGTACATCGATAAATGACGCCGGTTCTATTCCAATCGGGAATGTCCCGACATGAGCCATCCGACCCTCAAACTCAACCCCGTTGGGCATTGTTGGAAGGCCAAGAATTCGGGTACATGATGATAGGAAGTGCCGGGCGTAATCATACGTGTGAAACCCAATAAGATCACAATACAGGATACCCAACAGGATTTCCCTCCGTACCGGTAATATCCTATCAAAAAAAGTTTTCAAAAATGGTAGAGTACACAGGACATTCACCACGCACCTGTAAATTTCGCTACTGGGGAATGGTGTGTGCAGGAAGAATCCAATCTTGATCCCGGACACACTCGGTGCTGGGCTGAGCGGACCGTTCTCGCCTTCAATACCCTCCGTAATTTTTGTCAACTCCTCCAATGTGAAGTCTCCCGCATTTTGGTGGTCGTCTATCAACCCTCGCAGGAGCATAGGAAGCAGCATGAGATGGTAATCCTGAACCCACACCATCGCCCCCGGTGTAATCTGCTGTCGAACAACCTCAGCAAACCGCATGTTTGCCTGTCGATACGCCAACCAGTTCTCTTCGTCAAAATTCATCTCGCCAGGATGGTAGTGGAAGAGGGGCCAAAGTATGGAATTTGAAAACCCGTTGTAGTGGCGGTCAGCGACGTCATCATCGAGGTAGACAGCCTGACAGGAGTACTCCTCCATGAGCCGCTTGTCGACGAGCGGGCGGTCCTTTACTGGTATAAAGAAACCGGGCCAACCGATCCAGGTGAAGTTGAGTGATTTCTTGAAGCCCGAGAGCGCTGAGACGAGCCCGCCCGACGACATTTTGAAGTGATATTCGCCATCGGCGTCCTTGTTGATGGTAATGGGGAGACGGTTGGAGACGACGATGAGGTGACCGTCCTTTCCGAGGTTCATCTCTGGGTTGTCAACGGGCAAAGTCGGGGAAGTTGAATTCATGTTTCCCTGGGGCGAACAAGTGGTATTTATACCTACCTCTGGACTCTTCACAGATCTCCCAAATTCACGACCTAAAACCCGGATTGGGAAAGATAATCGGATACGTGCTGGCGAACGAGAAACGTTTGATATCTTTTCGGAGAAATCCTAGAGCTGGAAATGGCGAGCTACGGAATCAGTGGTGGTTGTAGTGTATTTTTAAGAGTCAATTACTATGGAGCGTCTACTAAATAGTATTTGAAATGGAGCAAAACGATACAACTTGGATTGAAATGGGACATTGAGAGCGTCAGAAACAAAGTCACTGATGATGCGTTCAAGTCCGCAGCCAAGCCACTGGTCCGTGAGACGGATCTTCTCAACTCCGAGGTCCCTCCTTCCTCACTGGGAAAATTCTGCACCGATGTTACACCGTGAGTCGATCATTGCACATTCTCATTCAAATATTCCTCAATCTAGCTTCCTTTTAGCATGGATCGCGTGGCACTCTAGCCGCAAGAACTCAATCAAGAACTGATTGTCAACCGTACCGCGTTGACACGGCCCGGTAGTAGAAGAGATGTGTTCATATTTTTGCTCGTGAAAATAGTACACAACACATCAAGTACGGATAGCGGAGCGCCGGAGAGTGATTAGTCGAACAGACCAAAGCCCTGTATTGGTAGTATCCATATGAATGTGAGGGACGTTGATGGGAATCAAATTACTGACCATGTCCTCGTCGGATTCCTCCTTCTCTTCCTCCTTCTCTTCGACCTTGGCAGCTTCCGCAGTAGGGGCGGCAGCAGCGGGGGCGGCAACAGCAAATGCATCAGGGTTGGCAAGATACTCCTTGACCTGGTTGGGCAATCAGCAATCATGTCAAATGACAGTCAAAAATTCGCGAGCGCATAAATCCATCATAGTATGAAATCTGCATTGCATCCTTTAGATGCTTGGTATTTTCAGTGTATATATAGGTTGATA